TTTTCAGATCGCTAGTTCGCATTTTGGTAGCCTATCCATCCACTGCGTAGATTTGGTAGCCTATCCATACTGAGAGTAGATATGCAAATGCCCCTTATCCGAATTGCAATCCAATGACAGGGACGCACATTTTGAAGGACAAGACAGTAGCCTATAGAATGTATTTTGAATGTCCGGTAGTTCTCAAATAACATTATAGTCCTGTTTCGTCTTGTTAACGAAGATGCGGCATAAATTTCATCATAGTTTTTATCATCAGATATTAGTTTTAGCTCGTCAACGTCTCGTCTTAATCACAGAAAAAATGTTCGTTAACGAATATTTTTCGTCATCGTCTTCGTTGACGAAATTAACACTGTTCCTTACAAAGATTTACTAGTTTGTTTGTGCAATAAAATTGTGGTAAATACATATTAACCACAATTGTCAATTGTTAAAAAAATCAGTCAGCATGGCAAAAAGTTTATGAAAGCTTAATACACCATTTGAAAGAGATCCCGTATTGAATTGCTATGGTTTGCAGTAGTAAAAATAACTAATTGCAATCCAATGACAGGGACGCACATTTTGAAGGACAAGACAGTAGCCTATAGGATGCATTTTGAATGTCCGATAGTCCTCAAATAACATTATAGTCCCGTCTCATCTTGGTAACGAAGACGCGGCATAAATTTCATCATAGTTTTTATCATCAGATATTAGTTTTAGCTCGTCAACGTCTCGTCTTAATCACAGAAAAAATGTTCGTTAACGAATATTTTTCGTCATCGTCTTCGTTGACGAAATTAACACTGTTCCTTACAAAGATTTACTAGTTTGTTTGTGCAATAAAATTGTGGTAAATACATATTAACCACAATTGTCAATTGTTAAAAGAAATTAGTCAGCATGGCAAAAAGTTTATGAAAGCTTAATACACCATTTGAAAGAGATCCCGTATTGAATTGCTATGGTTTGCAGTAGTAAAAATAACTAGTACTTGGTCATAAGCTATAATTACCATGGTGCATTTTGGTAAGGGCTATAAGATGTTTTAAGAGCAATTATAAGCCAGTAAAAATATCATAAAAAAAAATATCAATTTTTTGAAAAGCAAAATTTAGTAAAAAAAAAAAAAAAGTTGAATTAAGCTTTCTTCTAACCCCATATTGATAAATAGTTTTTTATTGTTTTAAGCATTAACCTCATTAAATTCTGTTAGATTTTTGCTTCCAGCAAGAAAAAAAAAACGAAATGCCAGTGGCGTAAAAAAAGAGAAAAAAGAAAAAAAGTCTATATATCTTTTATAGCATGCAAATTATATAATTAATTATATTTGTGCTTTCTAATTAAATTGATCTTTGTAAATAGGATTGATATTTTAGAATATATAACTATATTTATAGAAAAAATTTTGAATTAGCTTTTCATTTAATATTTTCATTTTAATTGTAGTTTAAGGTAAGTATTTTTGTCTCATTTGCAGTAAAAATATTTAAATATACTTTAATTCTTGAAAAGCAAAATTTAGTAAGATTAGATGTTTTTCCTAACCCCATATTGAGTTTTTTTCCTTATTTTTGTATAAACCTCTTTACATTTTGTTAGATTTTTGCTTCCAAAAAAGAATAAAGAAATGCAAATTATATTATTTTTACTCAGGTTTTTTTACGTAAAATTATCTTTGAATAAAAGTGTTATTTTAGTTTTATTTATACACTACGACATTTTTTTGAATTAGCTTTTAATTTAATATTTTCATGTTACCTTTAGTAATGTTGTGTTTTTGTCATTTTGATTAGTTTTGTGTTTTTTTTTTTGTTTTTTTGTTTCTATTTAGCTTTAATTTTTTAATTTCATTAATTGTATTACTTCAACCAAGGCAACATTTCTAATTTTCATTCAAGTTTTTCGTATAATATTTATAGTTTATTTTAAATCCGCTTTATTTCAATCAACAAAAACTATTTTAGTAGCTTTAGTTTAAGTTAACAGTAACAACACTGAAATAAAGTACTGATTGTCTGTGTAGTATCTCTTCAGCTCCTGATTGCTTCCTCTCCCACAGACCCTCAAGCATGGGGCCTCAAGTCTGTCACAGAAAGCATCCCCACCATTAAAGTGGACCTCGCCTCACCGCAGAGCCCAGAGTCCGTCAACGTGGTGGACGAGTTTGGCAAGAAGGGAAGCCAGTCGAAGGCGAGCAAGGAGGAGGAGGGCGGCCTCACCATGAAAGTTCCCTCTCCTACGAAGCAGAGAAAAGACAAAACGGCCGACGAGGACAACGACAAGGAGCCGCAGCAACGGTTAATGCGCTGTCTGAGTGACCCGGGCCCCACCGCTGAAGAGGAAGATGAGGACGAGGCCTTCCTCCCCTGAGAGATGAATGAGCTCCGGCCACCTCCTCAAGGACGTCCACATGGAGGATCACTAACTGCTGTAATACAAGAGGACAGATGTATAATCTGTAGGAAGCCAAAACGAAAGGAAAATGAACCAAAATAAAGGAAATGAAAGGGAGCGATCAAAATAAGCCATTCATTTTTTTTTGTTTATCATTGCTCTTTTCATTTGAAGCCTAAAGGCCCGTTCACACCAAGGACGATAATTATAAAAATAACGATAAAGATAATAGTTCTAAAAATCGTTCTCAATATTAAAGAATAGCAGAGTCCATTTATCACGTGGACCTAGGGTATTTTTGTAATAGCTAATTTGACCACTGCCATGTGCTGTATGGTAATTGTTGTGCCTCACAATAATGTGCATGTATTTTAAAATTAAATTTTTTTATTTATTTTATTTCCTCTTTAATTTCTTTCTTTTATTTCCAAAGTTTTATTTCTGAGGAGCCTTGCAAATTTATTTTTACAGTCATCCCCATGAGAAACAATTACAGTTTGAATAGGGTTGTAGTTTCAAGAATCATATGAGTCCAGTTTGTAAATTAATCAGTTTTGTGAACTGGATCAGCTGATTCATTGAAGATCAAGATCCAACTCAACTTAAATTTCTGTCTTATACAAAACAGTTTCTTAAAACTATCATATGACTTTAGAAATATAGAACGAGTTTGTGCCTGGTGTCCTTTTTGAAGCTTCAGTCTGAAAAAACTTTTTTTTCTTTTTTTTTCTCCACTGAACAAAAAAATGAGAGTGGGTAAATAATGACCAAATTTTCATTTTTGGTTAAACTACCATATGTGACCCTGGGCCACAAAAGCAGTCTTAAGTCGCAAGAGTATATTTGTAGCAATAGCCAACAATACATTGTATGGGTCAAAATTATAGATTTCTTTTTTGTCAAAAATCATTAGTATATTAAGTAAAGATCATGTTCCATGAATATATTTTGTAAATGTCCTACTGTAAATATATTAAAACTTAATTTTTGATTAGTAATATGCATTACTAAGAACTTAATTTGGACAACTTTAAAGGCGATTTTCTCAATATTTAGATTTTTTTGTACCCTCAGATTCCAGATTTTTAAATAGTTGTTTCTCGGCCAAATATTGTCCTATCCTAACAAACCATACATCACTGAAAAGCTTATTTATTCAGCTTTCATATGATGTATAAATCTCAATTTCGAAAAATTTACCCTTATGACTGGTTTTGTGGTCCAGGGTCACATATCGATAATAGCACAGAGAAACGATATTGTTGGAATCAGATTTTTTTCCAGCTGATGAACGATACAAACATTGACACCCAATCAGAATCCATCCTGCTATAATGACCTGGAGAATTTAAAGCAGCAGACAAGCGTGCGCTAAGTATAAACAGACGATATCCTCCGCTGATGTGGACGCTAATATCTCTTATCTTTATAATTATCGTTCTTGGTGTAAATGGGGCTTAACACTGTCCTTACCAGGCATGATGTGACTCAAATCCTAAGCGATGAGTGATTGTCATTGAGCTCCTGTTATTAAACATCAGGTTTATTATTTCTGGCCACATCATGTCCGGTTCGGAAGTAAGTGTTCCCGCCTAGCATTGGCTATGGAATGGTAATATTCCACACGAGGGGAACAGATCTATGCATTACCAAACGGTCGCACTGTTCAGTCTATTCAGGTGAAACGCTTCTGTTGTTGTTTTCAAAGCATTGATGCATTTTCTAGTTCACGATGCTCTTGTGTTTGTTCACGTGAATTGCCTTTGTTTTCGTGACGCGAGTACCACTAGTTGTGTTTTACCTCTAGGGGAATTAGATTTGTTTATCAGGAGCTATATGAAACCGGTTACATTATGGCCTTTCTTATATTTATCATACAGATGGTGCATATTTACACTGGCTTATTATTTCGTCCCACACCTGGAGGACCATTCAAGTCACGCTCCGTTTGCAGTGTACATAACAAACCTGAGAAACAACTACATACTCATTGTGATTGCACAAGAGATTTACATATGTAAAGACTTTATTTTACACCAAAAAGTTGATTGACCAGTTTGATTGGTTGTGATCGTGTTTCCTGTTTTCTTTGCTTGTACTTTATATCAAAGAACATTTTGGTCTAATAGTCTTTAATTCCCTTTAAATGCACTCAAGCGCTTTGGTGACCGGTCATGACCACTCTGAAAAACATCTGGACCATCGTATCAGCAATTTTTGATTTAAAGGAATAGTTCATGCAGAAAGGACACAATTCTGTCATTATTTACTCGCCTGCGTTTCATTCCAAACCCATATGCTGTTTTTTTTTTTCCCCCATGGAAAGACAAATGTTGATCTTAACGCAGCTATTTTCCATAAAAGTTCATAGTAACCCCATCTGGCGATCTCCAAAAAAGCATCATAAAAGTATCCAAACTGTCGTCTTTATGATTCTGTACATTATATTCCAATTCTTCTGAGGTCATATGATTATAGAAGCCCATTTCTGCCACAGAAAGTCATGGTAAATCATAATTATGACATAAAACATCAAAATGTGAGATACCATGTCATAATTGTGAAGACAAAGTCATAATTATGACATATCTCATATTTTGTATCATAATTTTGAGAAAAGTCATAATTATGTAGTGCTGTCAAATGATTAATCGCGATTAATCACATACAAAAAAGTTTTTGTTTGCATAAAATGTGTGTTTTGTGTATATTTATTATGTATATATAAATACACACACATACAGTATATATTTTGAAAATATTTACATTATAAATCTATTATATAAACAAAAACTTATTTTGGATGCGATTAATCGCAATTAATCGTTTGACAGCACTATAATTGACAAGTCGAAATTATGACACACTAAGATTAGTATGATAAAAAAATGGAAATTCTGAGATTAGTCATTAGTCAAATATGAGATACTAAATCATAATTATGAGATAAAAGGTCACAATTATGGAACACTAAGTGATAAGTATGAGATAAAAGTGGAAATTATGACAGTCAAAACTATGAGATAAAAATGTAACATTGAGTCATAAATTGTCGAAATATGAGATAAGTTATAACAGACAGTAAGCCATAATTGACAGTCAAAATATGAGATATTAAGTCATAATTATGAGACAAGAAGCCATAATTATGACATATCTCATATTTTTACTTTTAATTCATAATTATGAGACAAAAGTCGTAATTATGACATAAAAAGTCAAAATATAAGGTACTAAGTCATAATTATGAGAAGTTATAATTATGACACCATAAGTGATACTGTAGGTATGAGATAAAAAGTGGAAATGATTACAAAGTCAAAACTATGAGATGAAAAGTTAAAATTATGTCAGTCAAAATATGAGATGCTGAGTCATAATTATGAGATAAGCCATAATTGGCATAAAACATCAAAATATGAGATACTAAGTCAGAATTATGACATACTAATTTATGATAAAAGTTATTACAAAGTCAAAATGATCAGATAGAAAGTCGAAATTGTCCAAGTTGAAATTATGAGATAAAAAGTTTACATTGCCAGTCAAATTTGACCTACAAAGTCAAAATTATTAAATAAAAAGTATAAATTATGGCACGCAATAAGTCATAATTATAAGATAAAGTGGAAATTAGGACAGAAGGTCAGAATTATGAGATAAAAAGTAATTATGACAAAAAGTCCAAATTGATATACAAAGACAATGTGAGATATTAAATTATGACACAAAAGTGGTAATTGTGAGATAGTAAGTCATAATGATGACTTGTGCAATAATGTCACATTTTTATTTTGTAATTGTGATTTTCTGTCTCGTAATTTTGACTTCGGTCATAATTATGACTTACAAAAGCATGCTTTTCCCCCTCATTTGTCAGAAATGGGTTTCCATAGTAAAGACCTGAAGCTGAGTAAATGAAAACAGATATCTTATTTTTGGGTGAATTCCTTTAATACCTGCAGATGAACACTTTCCTGAAACCCTTCACCATGTAGCTCTGCATTCACACACACACATTTTTACTGCCGGTGTGATACGCAGGTTCGGGTTCGGAAATGTTGATTTGTGTTGCATGATCCCCAAACAGTGTGATTGTATCCCGAAAGAACTATGCAGAGTCTGAACTATGAATTATATGAATTATTCCCTTTAAAGCTTTTGCACCGCGAGTATCAAAACACTGGCCTCTGATTCTCCTGCAACCGAGATCCTGCTCTGGAGGTGCATTGCATATTTTAGAGAGAATCAATAATATATCAAAATCAGAAAGTCTTTTGCATGCACAAAGAGTAGATTAGTCTTATTTTAATGTGAGATGTGGTAAAACCATATCTATATATTTTACAGATGTGAACTCTAAAGGTCCAGAGATGTCTATATTCCGCTTTGAAGTATTACAGTGCTAACTGACCAGTTATTTAGCTTTTTACTTTTGCCTTTGAGAAGAGAGGACGCCTCCTCTTCTGCCTTCCTCATCAGATTCGTCACGGCCTTCGCTGAAGTTCATGCACTTGAGCGGCTTTCTGCTGGTTTTGGGAGTTTCGTTGGTTTTAGCTGGTTTTGGTCTCGCCTGCACTGTTGTGTTTGACGAATGCTCACAGCCGTCGTTATGCGATGTAAACGCAGAGCAGAGACGGGTCGCCTTGATGTCAGGTTTTGATGCACTATACTTTGACTGCAGTATTCACATCAATACAAGGGAAACGGGGAACATTTAAAAATAAATATTTTAGCCAAAATGGGAATTCTGTCATTATTAACTCAACCTTATTTTGTTATAAACCTGTATGCTGTTATTTTTCAATAGAGTTTTGAAAAAATCTTTATGCAGCTGTGTGTTGTATGGACAAAATATGAGCATGGGTTTGGAACCAGTGTTATTTTAGTATTAGTATTTAGCATTGAGATGCTATTAGTTTCTACTAATATTGTAAGTTAGTTTTTTATTTTTCTGATTTAAGTAATTTTCTTTAGTAATCTTGCTGTGTTTGTGTCATTTTTAGGAGGTTTTTTTAATATAACAATATCGTTTTTATTAATTTTTATTTTAGTTTTAGTTATTTTAGTACATCAAGTTGTTTTTGTTACATACATCTATATAGTTTTTATTCATTATATTTTAGTTTGAGTTATTTTAGTGCATCAGGTTTAATTCAATTAAAATGATTAATTTTGCCTTGACTAAAGCTAGAAGTTTATATTTATTTATTTTAGTTAACATTTTTACATTTTAGTTAT